TAGTAACATTTTTAGAAAAAGTTCACAAAGTAATAAAATGATAAACGTCAAACATAGGTAATGAATTACAATTTGATTATAAAAATGAATGAATAAAAAGGGTTAAAGTACATACAGATATCAAGACGAGACTTTAATTGGTATTATTAAAACAAAAACAACGTTGTCATATCTCCAATTCACTCCCTTACGAGTAAAGCAAAGATAGTGTGTGGAGAAAGTAAACGCTGTCCTTGATATCGTCACAACTGACCATCATCATCATCGTTATTGACGACATAATGTAGAAATATAAAAAATTAGGTAACGCCAGACCAGCTATTGCTGTTATTTTTAAAATGTGGTAGAAACTTACTATTTAGGTGAATCTGGGTGCTGACACAGGTGGAATTTGTTTTGTCAAATCCCCTATGAATCTCCAAATCTTCTAGATCTAATTCAAAATTGTAAATGAAAATGTGAAGTATTATAGAATTTTCAGGAGTACAATTGTGTTTATTGAAATTGATATAATGGCAAAAGTCGACTTATCAGGCTATCTAAGGTGTTCGCTGATGCAAATTTGTTAACTTTCTGTTTTTTCGATGTAAGCAGTATTACAATCAGTGCAAGATAAGCTGTTATGTCACTTTTGTCAAACAAACAAATCAATATAATTCTTTCTATTATAAGAAAGAACACTTTTGATATAAAAATATTTGAAAATAGCAACACTATCTTTAAATTTTTTTACTAAGATAAGTAAAAAAAAATATTTGTAATTATCTGAAGAATTGTTGGAAGTAAGCCAGTTGAGATATATTTTTTTAATTTTAAGTTTTATCAATGTTTAAACAGTCATTTTTAGTACAACTAAAAATATGATCATTACAAACAATCGTAATTAAAAAAAATTATGTATCGCAGTTTGATATCAATAAATAGATTTTTTTCTACCAATGTAGATGAATGTTGGTTTTAGCGTTTTTACCGTTGGTGAATATTATAAGAAAAACAAACTTTTTATATGCAAGTTCGAAAAAATTATTTATATTAATTTAAATTTAAATGTAGATGTAAATTGTAAGTAAGAGGTAAATAAAAATGTCATTAAATTCAGGCGTAGAAAAACTATAGTTCTTTACTTGAGTTTTAAGACAATTACGTATGAGTGGAAAAAATACGTAGCACGTATTAACTTTAGTTAATTTAACGCAATAGTTTTGGTAGACTATTTGATAAAAAGTGGCTATATTTAAATTATGATTTCAAAATAGAAGGTCATCGTAACTGGGATTAGAAAACAAAAATTAGAAAACAAAAATATGCATATTTATTTATTTGCTTATAAATATTTGAAGGAATTAATTTAAAATTTAGTGAAAAGGAGATATACCCCCATAATTCCTCAAAAGAACATCGTAAGACACACCTTTACCCCAGTAAAAAAAATTAAAGGTAAAATTAAAGCAGTATGCCTGCATTTAAATAAAATGAAAACGAAAAGAATGAGTAGCCAATAATGTTATAAACAGATTCATAATACGTAGGTATTAAAACAATGAATATTTTGATTCATTAAAAAAAAAACGGTACATTAATGTATATTTTTTGCCGAAACAATGAATTCATAAATGCATAAAATAAATATCAATTGGTCCAATTAAACATTCATTGTTACGAAAAAATCAAAAATACATTTTTTTTGTTCGTACGTAATTTTTGACTTTCAAAAACTAAAACTAAATTAAACCATACATACAGAGAAAACTTATATAACCACTCAAAATTTAATTTCTAATGTTAATTTTATCAAATTTCTATATTTTCAATAGCGGAAGTTATATATTAAATCTATTTTTATTTATCATTAGGCAAATGAGTTATCTAATTGTTTTTAAATAATATTTTGTTACACAAGTCTGTGGATAAACGTTAATCGAATAGCTTTATAAATATTTTTGTCTGTAAAATAACATTTTTCGAAATTCGAAACGACTTTTTAAATCTAAACAAAAAGTCAGTATCTTTGATAATGAAACACGTTCAGTAATTATCATAGGAAAATCGTTATTTTTATTTATTTTCTTTTAGAATCAATTTTGTCAAATATTAAGCAAGCAAATCCCTTTACCTAGATTTCAAGGATTTAACAGGACAATCTTAAACTCGTCACTGTTAGATCTAAAAGTATGTCCCTTCAGTTTTTAGGTCCATGCTAGACCATCAAAAAACTAAATCCCTACACCATTATTTAAATCTTCTAAGCGGAATTTTGACCCTTCCTCGTTCGACTTACATTCTCCAAAGTGAAGATAGCGGAAGAAAACAAAAAAGTATCCATTACATTATTTTGTCTAAGATGAACCATATCTCTTTTGTAATATACCCTCTAATCAGGTGTTGGATCTATTGTAGAGCTACTTGTAATACGATTGTTATGACAAATATTGCAGATTCTTGTACCTGGAGCCCATCTCACACCTTTCTTAATGCGATAAACCGTTTTACAAACCCAGCAAACTATTGTCCGTAATGTAGGTAGTTAGGATGAAGGATTAGTTTTACCTAAGATCTAAGAGGATCATTATAAATATCCTTTAGATCTTGACTTCGGATAACAGAGCGATTTGTTGAATATTTTAAAACACGGGTGTTATAAAGAGGACCCTTTTAAAAGCCCATCAGGTATTTTAATTTTAAAATGATTGTCAATAAATATTTAATTTGAACCAGTCGTCAAGGAATTTTCGATCTATGTTAAATCAAAATTTTATGTTTCATTTCAAGTGTCTTTTTATTTAGAAATACCGTAAGTTAGTTACTAATCATTAAAAACAAAGAAGAAAATGAAGAACAAATAAAGAAGAAAAGAAAGAAGAAAAGAAAGAAGAAAAGGAAGAAGAAATGGAAGAAGAAAAAGAAGAAGAAAAGAAAGAAGTAAGTAAGGAAAAAATAGTACAAAATAAGTTAAGAATAAAAAAAGAAGAGGAAAATGGACGAGATCAAGAAAGAAGGTAAGAGAAAAAAATAAAAGGACAGCAAGAAAAGGAAGAATAGAAGAAGAAAAAAAGGAATAATGAAAGAAAAAAAGAAGGAGGAAGAAAAAGAAGAAGGAAGTGAAGAAGAAATGATACAAAATAAGGTAAGAATAAAAATATTTTAGTTATTAGACTACCCTTTATTGTAGACTTTTTTGGGAAGTATTTTGTCTTTTAGGGTTTATAAAAAATATTTTAGGAATAAACTGAAATTTGTATCACCAAAAAGACCCAAAAAAGTTGTGCCTGTACAACGGGAAAAACATAATGACCATTTTACCAAGAAATCTGCTTACCTACGTGGACAGAAGTAAAATTGTTGTTTACGAATAAGTTCAAATTAACTTCTGTGAATTTTATATAAAAAAACGTATAATTATGAAATCTACTTACACTGAATACTTGAATAATGAATGAAATTATTGAAATAACTTTCAATTAATGAGATATTAAGAATAATTGTTGAGAAAGTGATAAATAATAGCATGCCAGTATCAACACGAATGAGTTAATAATTAAAAACAAGGATGCAGAAAATTTGATCATTAGATTTCTCAACTTTTTTTTGTTTAGAATAAAAACATTAAAAACAAATAATTCTGGTTGAGGTGTCTATTATTTCGAGAGAAAAAAAACCGAGGCTTCATAAAGATTTTGGAAAAATATTCTTTATAATTTCCTTATTATAAAGTGAGATAAAAAGTAGAATGGAGTGCTAAGAAAAGTTCTTGACAGACCTTGACCATTAAAAACATGTTAAGAGGAGACAAAAGTTGATTGGCAGAGAATTTATTTTAATAATAATAAAATTAATATTAATAAGGTAGCTACAAAAGTATAATAAATTTCAAACGCAAAAGATTTTTGTTTCCGTTAAATTATGTTTATTTAAATTTGAATGATTGAAAGACTTATATTTGTACTGGTCTCAATCACGTCTTAAGACATGTTTCAAAAAGACCGACCGACGGTTCAAAGTCTAGTTGTGCTTGATCACATTTCCCATGGTCAATATCCTTACTTCCTCTGCAAGAACTAACCCGACAATCGACGAACCCCTTTCTATAGCGAGTAATAATCGTAAAAATGCTAATTTTTACCTGCAAAATCGAGTTTTTCGAGTAACAGCTTGTGCATAAGCGAATAAAACCATTACGCATTTTTGTCGCTCAACCCCTCCCCGGCTTTGTAATTTATCGAAGAACAGTTTTAAGTGAAAAATTATTCAACAAAAATGCACCCTATAGCGCAAAAGGGGCGAACGCGTCTCCAAAAATTGCGTCACAAAAGACCCTATCGGAAAAATTACATCAAACTTAGACCAAGAAAACTAGTTTCAAGGTATTTAAATGACCGCTTAAAAGTTCCTGTTTTTTTTAAATATCCTAGTTGACCAGTGGTCAAGAGCAAGGGAAGTCTGGTTTCTCGATTCAACCCTCAAAACTAGATAAATACCCTGTGGGAAAGTACCATAGTTTCATCCGTTAGAATTCTGTCGTTTGGTTATCAAATTACTTTTTCTATAACCGAAAATTGACAAAAATCTTTACTAACCAATAATTTATTTGTATTAAATGTATTTATTTCGTTATAAAACAATAGTCAAAAGCGTGTAAAGTTTGTAGTTTAATATATATTAAATAAAAGTTATAATTAAAGTGTGACATGTATTGTCAGTGTTTAAATAAATTTAATATTTTCTCAACTCAGTTTGCTGCATTCAAACATGTCTTAGATTTAGATGAATGAATATATATAAGATATAAATAATAGATACTGTTTAGAGTTTAAAAATTGTACTGACTAAATGAAGACAAAGGATGTATTCCAAATAGTTAGGTCACGAGAGCGGGAAATGTTTAGTTCAAATAGTGCATGATCGTAGAAAAAATTTGGTATATATTTCGATTAACTTTCTGTTTTACCTACTACTACTTCCCGCTCTTGATACACAAAGAGTTAAACACAATTTCAACGTACCAGTGGTAGTGGTTGGGTAAACAGATTTTCGTCGGCCATATTCGCATAAACTTGGATGTTGCAAGTCCGTCCTCTGTCTTGAAAGCAGCTGATGTAATTGGTTGTAGTTATTTTGTTCTTTATCAACTGAAAAAGAGGAGAAGTACGTTAAAACTATGATATATATTAAAACAGAAACAATTTATGTACGAAATTGTTTAAATATTATAAGCTAGTTTTAAATTATAGAGAGGATAGAAATACATACATATTGAACAATCTTTGTTAAAAAAACAAGAAAAAATGAATATCAATTTTTTTTTCTTATTGGAATTGAACAGGATTGAAAATATTTTAAAATTATTTTTTGAAATTTAATTTGGTTAAAGCACCTAAACTATTTTCTAAAAATTACCATTATGGTGAATTGTGAATTACCCTATACAAACAGGCTGACCACTCATAAACCGTTAGTAACACAAAGGACTGGTTTTTATACAGGGTGTTCATTAAAGAATGGGCCGAACTTCAGATGTGGTTAGTTTGGACAAAAATAAGTTCATTTAAGCCAATTAAGCAAATAACAAGGTAAATTGGCTTAAATGAACTTATTTTTGTCCAAACTAACCGCATCTGAAATTTGGCTCATTCTTTAATGACTAAAACAAATTAAGTTCCAATTTCATTATCAAGTTGTATTTATAATAGCGCATTTAATTCTTCTACTAGATGTTTATAAATGTAGGGCAATCATCAATTTCTTTATTGTATAATTTCGACAGATAATTTTAATGTCAAATGCTAAATACAACATAAAAAATCAAACATTTCGGAAGATTTGAACCAATCTCAGATAAGTTTATATTAGTACGGATCCGTATATTAAATACCAATGCAAAATAATATATTATTTTATACAAGATGGTTGTGAGCCACAAGATGCTTAGTACACACATACCTATTCGATGGCCGCATAAGTTACTCCGCTTAAATCCTATGGATTATTCAAAATGGAACTATTTCAAAGTGAATTATGAGTTATTCGAAATAACTTAATTCAAAAATGGTATCTGCCAGCATAGTTCAAAAAATATTGTAATTCATCCGCATTAATGTTAATTATTATTGATGTTATTGACGTTACGAGTAGTTTTTTCCTATTAAATTAATTTTGATAAATAAACGTTTATATGTGTAGCAAAAAACGTTTTTGTAAGGTTATTTAATGACATAAAACACTTTTTCCTAACGACCTTTACCATGACCCCTAAATGCTTTACGATTTTCACGCACTTGACTAACTCAAATGCAATTTTCTTTTATATAAATCAAGATTATCGTTTTTGTTGACGTTAATAGCGCTTACTTTATTTTCTATTTCAATTTAATATCTAACAAGTTCATTTTATAAATAAACGATTAATAATAGACCGAAGAAAATTGTCTGGTGCATAAAGGTGAATTGGAAAACAAATGCCTGTAAAATTTAAAACAAATTAAGAACACAATAATGACGAGTATTTAAAATTAGATCGTAATATGAAAATAATAATAACCTTTCTCATTTCTATATAAGTATGTAGTTTTTTTTTATAAAAAGTATGACATTTAAGAAGATTGAACACTGAAATGAGATAAAATTAATTAAAAAATATCGAGTTATTTTTTTAATGGGAAGCTTCAAGTTGAAATTCTAATTTGTTTTGTACCTCTTGCTACCTTGTTTCACGCTATTCCATACGATGAAGAAGTAGGTAACACTATACCTTACCGGAAACTGACTATTTCCTTGACCCAAAAAAAGTTTCCATTACATTACATTCCGTAGTCGTATAGTCGATACGTTTACGTCTTAGAGTTGCCACATACAATTTATTCAATAGCATTAGAGGTTCAAAGAAAAAAAGTTGTTTCTTTTTGTGACTTTCTTATAATTTAAGGTTTGGTCGGCAGAATTCTAATGTCAGTAACTTTTTTTAACTCGTAAACATTATTTTTAGAACAAATAGGATGTTTGCACGACTAATATGCTATGAATTAATGACTACTTATTTCAAACGACAAGCTTTGTACGACAATAAGATGAGACTGATATGCTATTTAATTTAAGCATCGCCAAGCTATTATGCTACAAATTAACGACTATGTAGTTTAAGTTATGCCAAGCTTTGTTCGGCAGAATTCTAATGTCAACAACTTTGTTTGACTCGTGAAAATTAACGACGAATTATTTTTACGACAAACAGGCTGTTTGCACGACTTTTTAGTTTAAAAGACAAGCTTTGTACGACAATAAGATGAGACTGATATGCTATAAATTAAGGACTATTAATTTAAGTATCGTCATACTTTGTACGATAATAAGACGTCTATTATGCTACAAATACACGAATATTTAGTTTAAGTTATGTCAAGCTTTAATCGGCAGCATTCTAATGCCAACAACTTTGTTTAATTCGTAAAAATTTACGACACATTATTTTTACGACAAATAGGCTGTTTACACGACTAATATACTATAAATTAAAGACTATTTAGTTTAAAAGGCAAGCTTTGTACGATAATAAGACGAGACCGCTAAGCTATAAATTAGCGATTATTATGGTGCTAAAATTTAGTTCATACTTCGCACGATTATTACGTCACAAATTAACGACTATGGATCATTTGCACCGCTAGTCGTCGGGAAATAATCAAAGCTTAAAATTATAACTAATGACTAATACGAGTAAAACTATTTAAAATTCGTCAAACTCTGTACTACAATAAAACTACTGTACCCATGTTGCATGTAATAGTAATTTATGCAACCAGTTACACAAAACGGCATTTCGTAATGTACATACAATTTTTTTTCTAGGCAACCAATATTACTTTTTTGTATTATTATTTGCATATGCATCATTTTATTGACAAATAGAAAATCATAATAAGTATTTATTCTCAACGACTTGTAGTGTGTTTATATTACTTATTAAAGTTATTTAGTTTTCAAAAAAGAGGGTTATTTCGTCGTGTATTGTGTTTTAATTAGTTTGAGAAGATTTAGAATGAAAAATAAGAACTAAAACAATATTATTACTAGGTTGTAAGTTTAATCAAATTCTATTTTTATAAATCAACCTCCTCTTCTTTGATATAAACTATCAGTAAAAATGTATATATTGATTTTAAAACAAAAAAAAAAGATTTATTTTTCTTTTATTTCCGAAAAAAGTGACATAAATCATTTTGACACTTGCTGCAATTACAAAAAAATGCCACTTTAATGTCAAAATTAGAAAAATATATTCATATAAAATTTTAGGATTTCAAAATCTACAAAAATGTAGCAGTTTTAAATGCATTAAATTTTCATTTATTTTCGGAATAAATCTAAATAAATTAATTCGATAAAATATCAAGAAACCTTCTATCAGGAACTGTAAAATCGGACAGTACCGTCAGTACTATGGAGCAGTCTAGCACAAGCCTCTGTGTGTAGATAATCAGGACAGTCGTCAGTTCTTCTTCGAAAGTTTCAAAACATTACGTGGGAATCATTGAATATCTCTTACATAATTCATGAAATCAATAAATTATATTTTCGTATTTTATTAGGGATCGAGTTTTTTTAAGTAGCTAACGATAGATTTAAAAACGATGTTATACAGATATTAGGAAAATATGATTTATTAACAAATATAAAGGGTGGGAATTTAGAACTTATAACCACAAGGGTGTGATTTTTGTTATTAATAATATATTATAAAGTTTTGTGACTAGCTAGATTACGAGAGAAAATATCATTTAGGAAAATGCTGTTCACAAAATAGAAGAAAAGGCTGGTAGCTGTTTATAACTTTTAATATCTCTAATTTTTATATGGTTACATTTTTTTGCTATTAAGAACTGATTTTTTCTAGAATATCAAAACGGTTAAAGTATTTTGAATTGAGGTATTGCAAACCTTATTACACTTGACAGATATTTAACAATCTCAAATACTTCCGAATCTATCAAAAACTTAACAATTCATAAACAATAGTTAACAATAATTTTCCAACTACTTTACAAAATGTCAAATTCTAAAAAATTGTCAAGTACTTAATATTTTGTCAAAAACTAATTTTCTAAATTAGTTTTGTTGTTTATACGATTTATGCAATTATACTTGTATTAATTAAATAATATAATACACCTTTATTTTCCGTTGAATTAAAACTGAACACATTAAGTAACGCAATGGATAAACTTGAAAAAAAAATAAAAACAAAAGGTACGTAGATATTACAAAATACAATGTGCTATTAACCTCGTTACTTGTAATCTTTATTGTTGGTAAATACTCCCAATTCGTTTCCGACATCCCAAAGATGTACAATGAGAATAATTAAAAGAGAATTTAGATGCAGTGATTAAAAAAGAATTATCGTTAAAAATAATAGAAAAAGTACTAAATGAAGAGCTAAATATAATCAAAATACAATAATTTAGGTATAAGGAAAATATTTGATTCCAGATTTAGATCAAATAATACAGCAGGTAATAGTTTTGTATTTTAGTCTCATTTAGTTAAAAATAATATAAAAAGTATCGAATAAAGCACTGTAAAGTTATTTTTCAGATTTATATAAAATATAGCAATTAGTTCTGATTTCTATTCAAGTAAAAGTGAATTACAGCTTTTTCAACCGGACTTTCCTTGTTTTTATTCAAACATACGGTATCGGAACTATGCATATGGAGTTTTGACGTATGGCAGGCATAAATTTTGTAATGAGGTTAAAAAATGTACCTTTTAAAGGAAGTTGGTATTTCGTACCGAGCATATTATGTAAGTACTTGTTCAAAGTTGATTTCTATGTAGGTTAAGGCCGGCAAGTGCTGAAAAAATAAATACCTACCTGTGTGTATGTCGTACAGCAGTGACAGCGAATATTCTCGAAACATATAAAAAATAAACAATAAAATTTTTTCGTCGTTTAAAATGCCGGATTGAAAAATTTTAGAGGCCACCTGAAGAATGTTTATGTTGTGCTTACTGATTACCTACTATAATAGTAGATAAAGATCGTCTAATTAAAAATCTGCTGTGTCCAATACATGACTTTCCTATCTAGTTAATACACACATTTTTCGGTTATTTTGTACAACCTATTGTAACA